TTATCGAGTATTCTTCACATCAAAAGGGTTATAAGTTTTATTCTCCTGTAACTAGAAATTGTATAATTCTACGGATGTTACCTTCTTTGAGAATCATGCTTACTACAAATCTGAGCTTCAAGGGGAAAACGCAAACAAATTTCATCTTTAGGACTTTATTCCAAGTACCAATACTCAATCTCTAAGTACTAATCCGAGTATCCATACTCAATCTATGACTCCTTCATCTCCTCGCCTTATACCAAAGAACAAAGAAAAAGAAATCCTTGTCTTTATGAGAAGGAAACAATCTGGCAAAGAAATAGAGCACACAACACATCTTGAGGACTGCCATTAATCTGAACCAGATCCTCAATCTTTAGAAACTCATTAAGGTAATTCTAACCATGATAATATTGCTAATGATGATTTAGATATGAGAAATTTCATCAAATGACCAAAAAGAAGGGGGTGTTTGAACATTTTGACCATGACAATTTGAGTTTTATAGAATGACCAAGGGATCCTCAGAGGGGGCTCTGCGAAAGCTTTTTACCTTCTGAGGAATGTGAATAATAACGAGGAATTGAGGTGGCAGGGGAAAAAGACAAAAAAAAAAAAAAAAAACGGTTTGTTGCATAGTTCCTCTGAGGGGGCTCTGAGGATCTGTTCTTCATCGGCACACCTTTGAGGAACCGTTCTTCGGCTAATGAAATCCCAATTTTTGTCATGGTTAGCGGAAGAATAGTTCCTCAGAGGTGTGCTGAGGAAGAGCAGATTCGCAGAGCCTTAGCAACTTTTTTTTTTTTTTTGTCTTTTTCCCTTGCCACCTCAATTCCTCGTTACTATTCACATTCCTCAGAAGGTAAAAGGCTTTCGCAGAGCCCCCTCTGAGGATCCCTTGGTCATTCTACAAAACTCAAATTTTCATGGTCAAAATGTTCAAACACTCCCTTCCTTTTGGTCATTTGATGAAATTTCTCTTTAGATATTCCTATTGGTTTGAGAAATGGTTTCGTGCATGCATATTGTACTCAACATCTCTACATACAACTTTATATCCTACAAACTCTTGTCACAATTCTATCAGGCTTTTGTCTCGGTTTGTTGATAACATACAAATGCCTCACACCAAGAGGCAAAAGTCTCATATGCCACAACTAGTTGGTGACATTAGAATCCAACATAGATGGCAATGCTACATCGATACCACCTAAAACATCTTGAGTCTTGATTTAAATGTGAAAGTTCTAATAAAAGCATTCTGTCTCATTTAGAATCTTGAGATAACTCCACAAAAGAAACATCTTTACTGTTGATTTAAATAAAATATCAATAGTTTTCTTGAAAAGTTTTCTTTAAGGAAACATCCGCATTTGAATTGTTTGTTGAATGTTTGCATCCTTTCAGGAGTTCCCCAATGTACGATATCGTGTAAAGCCCACAGATGGATCTGTAGAGACAACATTCCGTGAATTAGTTCCTAAAAAGCTAGCTTTAGCTATTTGGGAATACATTAAGTCATATCAACATACTATTCCTAACTTCCCACAATCTGAAACATGCGAGTTGCTCATTGTGGATAGATCCGTTGATCTGGTAATTTCATATATCTTTTTTTTATATAATATTTTTCTTTCTTTTTCATATTTTAATAACAACACACAAGTTCAGGTTGCACCCGTCATTCATGAATGGACTTATGATGCAATGTGCCATGATCTAGTAGACTTGGATGGAAACAAATACACAATGGAGGTAACTTTTGTATAAAAATTCATTAATTTTTCCGAATAGAGTAAACTGATGATCTACGAATAGCAATGTATTTTGCATGTAGGTCCCTAATAAATCCGGTGGTGCACCTGAGAGAAAGGATTTCCTTCTAGAAGACCATGATCCTGTTTGGCTTGAAATGCGCCATTTGCATATAGCTGATGTACATCTCATCTCCATTTTTATATTATATATATATACTTTTTTCATAATTGAAATATTACAAGTTCTAACATCTTTTTGATTTATGTCATATCAGGCTAGTGAAAGATTGAGTGACAAAATGGACACTTTGATGTCAACAAACAAAGTTGCACAATTACAACAAAAGTCAGTTGTGTCAAGCAATGGAAACAATTCATTTTCCTTGTGAGAGCTTCTCACATTAAATTTTTTTTACATCAATGCAGAGATAAAAGTGAATTGTCTACCCGAGACATACAACAAATGGTTCAAGCTATGCCTGCATTTAATGAACAAAAGGAAAAACTTTCTCTCCATGTAGAGGTTGGTTCCTGTTAATTTTTTAAGTAAATTACATCTTTGGTCCCAAAAAGTTTTCTCTTGCAAATTTGATCCTTATTTGAAGTTTTTGGTCCCTGTCGCATGTCAAATGACTATACTTTTGGGGACCAAAGTTGCAAAAACCAGTTATGCTTTGGGAAAAAAATAGTTATTTTACTTGGAATATGGACCAAAAACATTACAAGAAGCAAAAACCAACTATAATTTTTATTTATCTATTAAATGCTTGTGGACTGATTGATTACCTGGTTCTATAAATCAGATTGCTGGAAAAATTAATAAAGTTATTGCGGAAGAAGGGCTTAGAGACCTTGGTCAAATTGAGCAGGATATTGTGTTTGGTGATGCTGGAAATAAAGAACTTCTTGAGTTTTTAGAAGAATATGAGGTGAATTAGTGGCCTGAGAAGCTTCTTCTAAGAGTTGTTATTTTTTTCTCTGGCCAACAGTTGTTATACCTCTTACAGGATCGTAATGTTGAAAATAGGTTGAGATTGATGATGATTTATGCATTAGCTGATCCTGAAAAGTTTGAGGGTGACCAAGGAGCAAAGCTTATGGAGGTATTCCATTTTCTTTTTATGTCAATCATAAAATGGAACACAAAAGGAAACTTTACCTTTGTTTTGTACTTATATACTTATTTTTTTGGGCACCCTAAAGTTGGCAGATTTGACGCCGCAGAGTATGATCTTTATTAATAACATGAGATTGCTAGAGGGTCCACCCAAACCAAAGAAACCAGAACCCAGCGGGGGATTCCTCAAGGGTAAAAAGGTAATTCTTCATTGTGACAAAAATTTTCTTGAATAGTACTATTATATCATGACAAGTTAAAGTTATAATAATTTCAACATTTATTTTGGTTATTAGAAAGCGAATACTGCACTGAGGAAGGACAAACAAGGGGAAGAAGAAACATGGGCACTCTTCAGATTTTTTCCTGTCCTAGAGGTGTTGTGCAACTACTATAAGTCTATAACCATATCTTATTTCAATTTTTACAGTAATGGTAACAATTTAACCTATTTATGACTCAGGAGTTACTTGAAAAAATTGACAAAAATGAAATGCCAAAGGACGAGTACGAATGCATAAATGAATCAGAATCAAGCTCAAGTGGTCGGCCGGCGGGCCCCGGTGGTCGAACAGGGAGGGGCGGCGGTCAAATCCGGTCAAGGAGAAAAGCGGCACAAACAAAATCTGATGATGGACATTCAAGGTTACTTTTTCACCCATTTCTCTTCGTATGTAAAAACTCATAATTGTAAGAATTTTAGGGACTGAATATCAATATGACTTGGATCGTGATTACAACACTTTCCAAAATCTGTAATTCAACCCTGTTCCTGTTCCTGTTCCTGTTCCTGTTCCTGGGGTTACACGAATTCAGACTATTGGATAATCCAAGAAATTAAAACATATTACAAGACTAATCTGATTCACAAACACATAAAATGTGTTGATGACACTAAAATCACCAACAATAATTGTGTCTAACTACTTTTTTTTATTTGCAGTGACTCGGTAGTAAAAAATGCAACTGTGGATTTAAAACACTTGGGGCAACGAATTTTTGTTTTTATTATCGGTGGTGCCACTAGATCTGAGGTAAATCTTGGGAAACTGATCTCAAAGATCCCCAACAACATGCCCAAAATATTAGAGAAAACTGAACACAAGAATATAAGTGGAAATCCTCTATCTCTATATGATAAACTACTACTTATTTTGGTTGCCTTTTTGTTGTTAATCATAATAGTTCATTTGTTTATATGTGTAGTTGCGGATATGTCACAAGCTTACTGCCAAACTGAAGAGGGAAATTGTACTGGGTTCAACTAGCATAGATGATCCACCAAATTACATTACAGTAATAATAATTCTTAGTTGTTAAATTCTCTCTATAAATAAACTATTAGTGTTCCTTTTGTAACCTTTTTCTTTTTTTTTTTTTCTTTTTTTTTTTTTTTTTTTTTTTTTTGTGTGTTGCAGAAAGTGAAAATGCTTTCCTTCAGTGGATACGGTTGTTGATATCCAGATGCAAATTATGTCTGGTACTTGGGTTACATGCATATGTATTATGTATATAAATATATTGCAGTTTTTGTAAGTAGGTTTACATTGCGAGTCTTTTTACTTGTTTGTTGATATCCAAATCTTTTTATTCACATTGTTTGTGCATATATTACAACAAAAGTTCTTGTTATTTCTTGTATCTAGCCCTAAATATTACACCAGTTTTTCTCTTGTAAAGATTGAAGACTTTGCTTGATTTTGACACTATAATTTTCACTTTTACTTTGTGAATTATGAGAAGAAAGTTATGATGAAAAAGTGACTGTGAATGTGAAGGTTGAACCACATGGTATATGTTTAAGATAATGGAAAAACTATAAGAGTTTCATGTGACTTGTTGAAGGAAAATTATGATCGTTTTTTAAAGAATACATCAAAATCCAATGCAAATTCACAAATGTATAGTAAACCAATTTGCTATTTGATTATAAAAGTGTTTTTAACTTTTGTTTTTAAGTAGTCATTTCATTCTAGTTAAAAAAAATGTTTACATTTATCTTCTAAAATAACCTTTTGTTTATACATCAACTTCTTACATGTTTCTACATTTGATTATTTTATTTCTATAAAGTTTAATTAATCAAAAAAGAAACTTAAGCATTTATAAAAGGAAATGACAGTTTTATCCTTCTAGAATTTAAAGCCCATCTCATTTTGTCTCCACGTCTGGGCTCAAACTCTTTTGCGGACTGTATCCTTGAAACTTCAATCTCTAAAAGACCTCGATCGCAAACAGTTGGATCAATCACTTCCTCCATATCAAATTGGAATTCGAAATCTCTCCGTCTGTTGATCCTAAACCAAAATCAACTGAAAATGGAACCGATCGTACCAATCGCAATACTTAGTTCTCTGATTCTCGGAGCTCTGATCGCTTTTGTAGCCTTTGGTAGCTACTTTCGCAAGAGGAAATCGGAGGTTGCTTCCATCGCAAAGCCCGCCGAAGCGGCGGCACCGAATCTGAAGAATTCAAAGCCTCAGCAAACTAAGAAATCTCAGTCCAAGCCTCATCATTCACATGCTGATAAGGTAAAAAAAAAAAATTATAAGCGACATTCAGTTGATAATCATATGAAGCGATGGGCCGATGGTTATGTGTTTATTAATTGATATGATTTTTGGTGAATCGTGTGATTTTGAAGTTGGTGGATGAAATGAGTCACTAATTCTAACCTAATTTTGAGAAATATGATTAAAAGCTCGATGTTCACGCTGAATCGTTGATAAGTTATGAGTATAAAATCCTTCCAGCTTCAATTTCTAGGGCTTTATACACGGCTATCTGTACCAACATTTTTTGTTCACGTTATAAGGATATGATATTACGATGGAGATATACATGTGAAATCTGGTATACTAGCGATTGTCATGTCAAAACAATGTTGATGTTATATTCTAAATGAAATCGTCAGGGGAGGGCAATACCTATAAATACGGGAATACAAATGAATGTTATTTCTAAGATTTTGAATCATCAGTAAGGATCATTCATATCCTCTACATAGATACCAAGATCTGTCCTTAATTAGATGCACTATAATATTCATGATGCTAGTTAATATGATTACTGAAGTTAAGAAGTATTGAGAATATATCTCAAATTCAAAAGTGGACATATAAGTTTTAGTATCCATGCCGATAAGATTTTGTTATGTGTACACATTTTCTGATGGAACTTCAGGTATGTTGTTTCTACTGCATGCTGCTTTTAAATTTAGAAGCATATACGGTTGTCAGATGATTCTATTCAGTAAAGAAATACTTATGAAATCAAGCCTGGTTTCTGAAATATATGATTAAAATTTAAAATTAATGATGTAGTTGATTCTATGTATCTTTAAACTGTGATAAGTGATCTAGTTGATTCTTAATAATCTGTTTATCAAATCATATTCCCCATCTCATTCTCATTTACTAATAATGGCTGTGAATGTAGGATTTGAACAAGCGCCATCACCCATTAGACTTAAATACTTTAAAAGGTCATGGGGATTCTGTTAATGGCTTATGCTTCTCATCAGATGGTCATAGTTTGGCAACTGGTAATTCTCATCACAATCTTTAAACTTTACATTGACACTGAATGCATTAAATTCAAATAATAACCCAGTTGTGAGTTTAATGAATTCAGCTTATGTGTCCATGCAGCTTGTGATGATGGTGTAGTCAGAGTATTTAAGTTGGATGATGCTTCAAGTAAAAGCTTTAAGTAAGAACTCCTAAGTTTTTATACTTTTATGCCAACTTTTATATCAATGTTTCCCACATTATAATGATTTCTATTATTTTGGTACTATCATAAATGTAGGTTTATGAGAATTAACCTGCCAGCTGGAGGCCATCCAACTGCAGTTGCATTTGTTGATGATGCTTATTCAGTTGTTGTGGCTTCACAAAATCTTACCGGTGCTAATTTGTACATGTATGGAGAAGACAAGCCAAAATCTGGTGATAATATTCAACAGTCAAAGCCTGAAATAAAATGGGAACACCATAATGTTCATGATAAAAAGTATATCATCACTTTATTTGGAACTAAAGCTACTCATGGTGCTGCTGATGGAAGTACAATTATTGCATCAAGTTCAGAGGGTATGTTCTTATACCATGCTAAGTGTTTTATACATAAAGACTTGTTCTTTTATGGAATGAATCCGAGTAAATGACCATTTTACCCTTTGTTATTTGCCTTGACAGGAACTGATATTAAACTTTGGCATGGCAAATCTGGAAAGCTGTTAGGAAATGTTGACACTAATCAGCTGAAGAACAATATGGCTACCATATCGCCAGACGGGCGGTTTATTGCTGCAGCCGCTTTCACAGCTGATGTGAAGGTGAGAAAGTCAAAGTAACTATTATTATTATTTTTTTACTCTAAGAGTAACATTTGTTTATTTATTTATTTATTTATTGAATACAGGTGTGGGAGATAGTGTATTCAAAGGATAGTTCAGTGAAAGAGGTGACAAAAGTTATGCAACTGAAAGGCCATAAGAGTGCTGTTACATGGCTATGCTTTACACCCAACTCGGAACAAATCATTACTGCATCAAAAGATGGTTCCATAAGAGTGTGGAACATTAATGGTATTTCATGAAATTTTGTTTTGCTTTTTGTTTTTTTTTTTCCTGACAAGTGACAAGTGACATAACATACATAAATTGTGATTTGTGAATTGTGAATTGTGAAGTTCGGTATCATCTTGATGAGGACCCAAAGACATTAAAAAGTTTCGAGATTCCACTTCATGACTCAAAAGGCAGTGTGTTGAGCTATGACAGGCTGAGTGTATCCCCTGATGGAAAGATTTTGGCTGCTACTCATGGTTCATTGCTACAATGGCTGTCTGTTGAAACTGGACAAGTATTAGAAACAGCTGACAAAGCACATGATGGTAAAATATTATTTTTCCCTATTATAGCATTGTACTTTGAAAAAACTAAAGTTGAAAGTAGAAAGCTATAATTGGATAGAATTTAGTACAATGACTTGATAAGAAAAAAGAATGAATTGCAATAGAAAGAAAGGAATGGAAGTAGGTTGGTATTTCTTGCATTTAGCCCTATTATTATTTATTAATAAATAGGATTAGTCTAGACAAAATTTGGGGATATTTCTTGCATTGTTTCCAGTAGGTTATTTGTGGTTTCAGTTAAATGTTATGTTGGCTTATTAATATTAATATTATGTATGCAATTGCAGGTGATATCACAGACATCGCATGGGCACCTAAACCTATTTCTGTGGGTAAGTATCATCCATCTTCCACCCTTCTCTCTCTCTCTCTCTCTCTCTCATAATTTTTGTTTTTTACACTATGCTATTCCCAAGTATACTGTCATTTTTTTAATATTTATACAACAAAGTTTCACAATCTTCCCAATTATGTAATTTCTACATGAAATTTGTCATCATGTTTCTTTATTGGATAAATATATCTTCACCGATTTATGCAACAATATCTTACTTTTTTACAATTTTTGCAACTATGACCTGTAAAAGTAAAATATTGCATCTTTTAGTCATAAATGAAACGGCCTATTACTTTTGTTGCATAAACTGAAAAGGAAAAGGTGTGTTTTCTTAAATATATGTGAAACAGACACAAGTTAATTGAAGAAAGAAAGAAAAAGTAGCAATCTGAGATAATAACAAAGTATATATTTTTGAACACAACAGGGGATAAACGGTTGAGTATTCTAGCAACAGCTAGTGTTGACAAGAAAGTGAAGTTGTGGGCAGCTCCAGCACTTTGATAAGTCGATACTATGCCACCAAACCAAAGCAAAGCAGTTTGCCAAAGTAGGAATGCTATTGAAAGGTTCTAATTTTATACTTTTTGGACTTTTGGGAGTGCTTGCTTATAAAGATGAAAGATGGCATGAGGAATGAGGATCCTATCCTATGGAATAGGTTTTAACCAAACCACGAGACTGTTTTCAGATGATGAGTTGGCATGTAAGAGAGGAGATGCTTGGTCTTTGTCTTTTCGACTACTATCAATCTTAACAGATTTTGTTTAAAATGACTACAAAGAGTTTGGCATGTAATGATCACACAAGTCATTACAAGTGCTGCATGTTTCTTCCTTCTTATACTTTCTGTGTAGCTATTTTATATCCTTTTAAATCGTCTTTAGGAGGCTTCATACAAATTTTAATCTAGTTGCCAAAATCCAATTGTTTAAATAAAAATAACCCAAATGTTCCTACTTTTTATGCCTACAAATGTTCCTACCCAATAAAATTATGACAAGTGTCATCATTTCATATTTTTTTAACTAATTCATTAAGGCTATATTTTTGTAGGCATACAACGTAGGAGGTAATTTAAATTATCATATATATATATATATATATATATATATATATATATATATATATGACAAATCACCATTCAATTTAATTTTATTTGATATATTCCTAATATAGCCTTAATGAGTTAGTTAAAAAAATATGGAATGATAACACTTGTCATAATTTTATTGGGTAGGAATATTTGTAGGCATAAAAAGTAGGAGGTAATTTAATTTCTCATATATTAAATGTTTAAATGAGAACCTCTAAATGTTAATAACCCTAAACATCCCTTCTTCTTTCTAACATAAACATCATCAGACCATTCTTTCACCTGACTTCAAACATATCTTCATCTTCGCCTCTTCCTTCATCAGATAACATCCACCATTTCTGGTGTCCTTACCACCGACAACTTTGCTCCGACGACTTACCACTGCCGTCTCCTATGTTGACAGTACCACCATCTCCTCCGCCGACTTCTGCTACCGCCATAAATCACCACCTCCTTCTCCGATCCTCGGTGAATATCCATATCTACATCAGATCGTATTAGATCTACATTAGATTTGACTAGATCTACATCAGATCTCCGGTGAAACATCCATACCTAACTATATGGCCTTCTATTCGAGATTCCGACATCACCTTCGAACCCCCGACATGTAACACCTCCAGATGCGTCATCACCATCGTATCTTCACTACCCCTCCAGATCTGCTTCACCTCCATAATTTTGTGTCATTTTGTTGTTCATGCTCATGATTCCAGATCTGATTTCCTTCAAATCAAGTTTAAAACCTTTAGATCTGATTTCCTTCATGTTCTCTAGGTCTAAAACCTCTGAAGCCTTATGAAGACATTGTCTGACATTGGTGCCCCCTAGGACATTATCAAAATGTGTTGAGCTCTCAACCTGTCTCTGCCACACGAGGTACCTTTAGGGAAGGATTTAATGCCCCCAAGGACATTGTCAACATCCACTACAAGGGGAGGTTCTGAAAATATGGTGCTCGGCATGGAAGGTGGTGGCTTGTATGGATGCTTATCCTCCAATGCCTTCGTGGTATCACCCAAAAAATGGATCAACCACCGAAGAACATAAAACTTTCACTACCACTGTAAAATGTCCATCGGAAACCTTATGAAGACATTGTCTGACATTGGTGCTGCCCAATGTTCTTTCCTCCTGAATGTACTCTTCTTTTTTGCCTTGTTGATCCAGTCTTGCATTGTCAACTAATTTTTTAACTAGCTTGACGATACCGTCTTCAGTCCCCCAAGTAGCTAATGCGCTTAGGATATTACGATGTTGCAAAGACTTCCTGTTGTCAGACCTACTTTCTTGCCTATGCTTGGGCTTGAACACCTGAAGAGTACACCTAGGAAGAATATTATGATGACACACTTTTGGAGATTCAGAGGATATTATGATGGCACACTTATTGGAGATTCAGAGGAGGTTGCCAAAGCGTTGGACATCATTAAGGTGATTTGCCCAAAATTGGGCCTTTAGCTGAATATCAAGAAAATCGAGCTCTTTTGGCCCTCGTGTGATGGCAGGAAGCTACGTGAAGGGCTATTCTTGGCTAGCATCGGGAGGTCGCCTTTGTAACATCCCCCTCTGGCACGTATCACAATAGTGTCCGCTTTGGGCTCTCGGCACGAAAACTTCCCAAGGGGGTCACCCATCCTTGGATTGCCCTCGCCCGAGCAAACTTAACTGTAGAGTTCTTATGGGATCTGCTACCCTCACGGGTTTAAAATGTGTTGTGATAGAGAAGGTATCCACACCCCCTTTAAGGAATGTTTAGTTCTCCTTCCCAGCCGATGTGGGATTAGGTGCAACTAACCTGCCCGCCTTCACCCCCATTATAGGTTTCGACGTCCCCGCCGAACACATCGACTCGTGCCCTGACTGTGATACCATTTGTAACATCCTCCATCTGGCACGTATCACAATATCGTTTGCTTTGGCTCTCGGCACGAAAACTTCCCATGGGGTCACCCATCCCTGCATTGCTCTCACCTGAGCACGCTTAACTGTAGAGTTCTTATGGGATCTGCTACCCTCACGGCTTCAAAACACGTTGTGATAGAGAAGGTATCCACACCCCCTTTAAGGAATGTTTAGTTCTCCTTCCCAACTGATGTGAGATCAGGTGCAACCAACATGCCCGCCTGTACAATTGTAACATCCTGTTTCCCGTCATTTCTTATTTCAGGGCCGTGGATCGGAAGTCGATTGTGTAAAGGATTTGGGCCTTAAGGAGCTAATTTTTATACCTTTTTTAAGGAGGCAATGCTGGTTATGAGATCTAAACCTTTGAATTGTGTTTTGGGCCAAAGGGTAGAACGGGAAAAGTCATAGGTTGGGTTCTTGCATGAAATATGGATTTTTATTCAAGAAATTTTTAGTCCAACATATTTAGATAATATTTTAGAGCTCTTCAATGCCTTTCCGTGGATATAAAGAACGTTGAATATGGAGTTGGAACGAAGAAGTTATGACTGTTTGAAGTTAGGACGATTTTTGGGTTAGCCGCGTTCGTTGGGCGTACGGGCGCATCCCTAGTACGGTGGGTGCAAATTGAGTACGATGGGCTTACGTGATCAGTGCCCAAACCCTATTTTCGTGGTTTGATCCCTATTTAAGCTCCTTAACTTCCCCAAACCCACTACATTCTCAGCCTCCACCTCTCCAACACGTTATCTTAAAACCCTAACCCTAGTTTGAGCCTTGTAAGCAAAAAGAAGGTGTTTTCACTACAAATAAAATTACATTTAGTGGCTAGTGGCACAATTTTTTTTGTGCCACTATAGTAAATTTTTAGTGGCACATATATGTATTTGCCACTATATCACCTCAATTTTAGCTTTTGCTGCTTCAAACTTCCCAAAATAAAAAGGTTTCCACCACCCCCGCATTCATTTTCATTTTCCCTCTTGATCTCTAAATTTTTTGACCTAGTTCTGTCTCTCCCAAAATAGGCACCATCGTCCCACACCCTAAAACCCAAAATCGACCTAAGTTGCAGCTCATCTTTTACGATGCTCTTTTTATGTGCATAAACTCTTCTCACTCCTCTCACACACACCTTAACCTATCAATTACTATATTTACGTCTCTTCCTGCTATGCTCTCCATTGTAAGCAAATTTTCTAACTAGGGTTTGCAAATTATCGCGTTTAGGGTTTGGATTGGATTTCAAAGATTATTGTAAGGTCAACTTCTTTTCTCTTCTTTTTAGTCATCGGTTTTCTGATGAACGTTCATTCTATTTTTCTCTTCGGCATGTCCAAATTCTCTCTTTGGCTTCTCAGTTTTGAAGATTAATCATTAGTGGAATTCGGTTTCAGATTCAGTGAAAAGTTCTCTTTCGCTCTCTGTTCTCTTTCACTCTCTCTTCTCTGATGAACATTATTTGTTCTATTTCTTATTCGTTTTTAAATATGATCCGATTATCACTTTTTTAACTGCCTTTTGAAGATTCGGAACTATAGGAATGGGTTCAGGATATAAGTTCTAATGAATCTTCATGTTAATAGACTTCCATTTGTAGGTTTTTGCAACTCTGTTGGTTGATCCACAACATATATTGATGGCCACAACCGTAGTTGCAGCTACTTTGAGGGAGATCAACTATTTGGAATTGAGGTATTGTTTTAATCTGAGGTTTTTTCATTAACATTTGAGCTACTTCTGCCCTTCGAGTTTGGCGAATTTGTTGCCTCTACTCCTCTTACACCACTTCTAAAACCTGACAAGGGAATACGACCTATTGCAGTAGTAACTATATGGAGACGTTTGGTTTCCAAGCTGGCTATGAAAGGTGTTTGGTAAAGAAATGGCCAAGTATCTCAATGATTTTCAGTTCGGGGTCGGGGTGTCAGGTGGCGCTGAAGCCGTTTTACATAGCGCCAACAGGGTGTTGAGTGAACGCCACAATGACAGGTCTCTTTCCATGCTTACTGTGGACTTCTCCAATGCCTTTAACCTTGTTGACAGATCCGTATTACTTCATGAGGTCAGATTGAGGTGCCCTTCTATATCCTTGTGGGTAGAATTCCTATATGGTCAAGAAGCAAGGTTATATCTAGGGGACACACATATTTGGTCTTCTACTGGAGTTCAACAAGGAGACCCATTGGGACCACTTCTCTTTGCCCTTGTGTTGCACCCGCTCTTGCATAATATTAGAGACAATTGCAAGCTTCTTCTCCATGCATGGTACCTGGATGATGGCACACTTATTGGAGATTCTGAGGAGGTGGCCAAAGCCTTAAACATCATTAAGGCTATTGGCCCAAAATTAGGCCTTCAGTTGAATATCAAGAAAACCGAGCTCTTTTGGCCCTCATTACATTGTGTTTGAAGTTTATGGAAATGTTTTCTAGTTAAACATCTTGTTGTGTTTATTTATCTTTGATCATGAGCTTGGATGAATGAATGCTTGTTTTTGTTGACTAATTTCTTGGTTAAGTAAATGGATCTTCAAATTAGTAAGCAACAAATGGTTTATATGTTTGTTTTCATTTCATTTAGACCATGGAAATGTTTCCTCCATAATGATAATGTAAGCATTTGATTATCTTTTGGACTTGGTAACTCTTATAACTTAAAGCTAATTGATTTTCACAAGATTTTATGCTTCATTGATTTTGTGACTTCAATTAAGGAAATGTGTTAAGAGCTCCTCTAACCATTTTAATTTCTAAGAAGAGTTGAGGCAATTTGTGCTTATGAATTGCTATAGCCAAGTTAAACCAATTCACAAGTGTTATTCCATTAAGTCTATGATAAGTCAATCATATCATCCATGAGGTGTACCCCAAAATCAACCATTCTACT